TTATCCGAAGAGCTATGTCGATCACTTTGGTTCTCTGTCTGATAACCTCATTACGGAGTTTATCTTTCAGAGAAACTCCGAGCATAGCTCGTTCCATAGCTCGCTGAGCGACTTTAAACTGGTGGACTAGCCGTATCGTGAGTGTCCACGACTCAGCTCCGTACGTTAGAACTGGTAGGACGCACTGGTTGAAAACCTTTGTTTTCAAGCTCTGCGGGATGGGTGACGAAAAGACTCGACGTAGCTTCCCAAACGCTGCCCAGCCAAGCTGAATCCTCCTCTTGGCCTCCTTCTCGAAGTTATTTCTACCTAACTGCAGAATCTGCCCGAGGTAAGTGTATTCGGAAACAACTTCAAGAAGGTGGCCATTGACGCAGATGGGTCTCGGATCAATGTGGTCATTGATCATCACGTCCGATTGATATCAATTCCGAATCCGAGAAAATAACGGTCCGAAATGTCACAGGTGTCCGAAATGTCATTTTGTCTCTATACTCTAGCCAAATTCGATGTAGAATGTTTAATAACAAAACGTTGCTAGGCAACCAACGATGGCATTCGAAAAGAAAATTTTGATGCTCATTATTAAGGCGTGCTCTGCCCTCGGTCTGCTCCCTTAATTTGAATTTAAATAGGTAAGTAAGTAATTGGGTTATGTAGAAGTAATACTTACCTAGCCAATCATTATAAAGTATACAAAATACCTATTGATACGTATGACTTAGGAATAAAAATAAGTGTTTGCATCCTATTAATATTCACTGCTAGATGGTAGGTAATGATAGATGAAAAGAAATAAAATTGTAAGATATTTATTTGATATTAATTTACCACATTATATCATCCAGCATCTATTTCCGATTCTGAACTCGAATGTTTGCAATCTCTCCCTTCAAATCAAAAAGGTCACTAGGGATGACACAGTTTTACAAACAATTAATTACTGGTCATTTTTATGTTATTTTTAGGTGATTTGAAACTTCTGTTGAATAATATTCATTATAAACATGGCTTCAAGATTTAGTATTATCCATAATCTAATTGAATATCGTTAGAAAATATTAAAATTTCGGTAACTGTGGAAGAATCTGAGATGAAAATCATATGTTTTTGTTTGTTGACATTTCGACCCCTCCTACATCTTTATGTATGTACGATACTTTTATCGTGTGTCGAAATTGCCAAGTTTACAAGGGAGCGTCTTAAAGTTTTGAATTCTCTGAAATGAGCATAATGACTTTAGTATTTCTCAGTTTTATTCGGCAAGGCTCATTACTCACATAGAGCATTATAAAATCCTAGATATCGGTTAGATGAACAACCACAATTCATTTTATAATTTTACACTGTCACCCGACACGCACTTTAGTTTACCCACTTGTTGACCCATATGTGAGTTAGGATAAAATAAATTGTGGTTGTTCGTCTAGCTGATATTTTATAATACTCTATGTGAGTAACAAGCGGTGCGGAATAAACTGAGAAATGCTAAAGTCACGTGTTATGCTCATTTCAGATAATTCAAAACTTTAAAACGCTCCCTTGTAAATTTGGCAATTTCGACATACGATACTTTACGTAGGAGGGGTCGATTTACTCTACATCGAATTTGGCTAGAGTATAGGTGTATAAACGATACTCGTATTTTTAACCGACTTCAAAAAAGGAGGAGGTTCTCAATTCGACTGTATGTTTTTTTGTTTGTATGTTACACGATAACTCCGGTATTTGTGAACCGATTTTCATGATTCTTTTTTTGTTGGAAAGGTGGTACTTCCATGGTGGTCTAAGGGTGGCTGTTCACACATGAAGATTCATTTTTATAAATAGCGCCTAAATTTTACTTAAGGAGTAATTACTTTAATGGTCGATTTTGCTATTTCTCCAATTCAAGGCGTTTTTCTCTCTATATACTTTGAGTAGTGAGAACCGATTTTTATTATCTCCAGTGTCAAGTCCTGTTTAGTGTCGAATTTAAGGATATTTCAATAAAATTTAGCAAATAAACGTAATACCACGTACTTTTGAGGTCGGTTTTTTTAGTACTCTGTACTGAGATTATCTCGGATTGGAGCCGGACTTAGCGCACAAGCGACATCCGAAGCGGGTCCGAATTTTCAAGATTTGTATAGTTTCGAATTCGGAACGAATACAAATTGGAGAATGCAATGCGCAAACGCACTAGCACTGTCCTCTATGTCATAACTACAGGCCTACCGCTTAAGTGAGTCGGTTCCTGAAGTCTGCGCAGTGCGAGAGGAGCGTGAGAAAGTAGTTGAAGAATTGGGTAGCCTATAGACAGCCCTGGTTCGTAGCAGCAGAGCTAGTAGAAAAAGAGCTCGTCCAGGGAAGTATTGTTACCGTCATTGAAAGGCCTACATGGCTCTACAGTCATAACGGGGACCTCTCGGGCGGGGTACGGAGGATTCTGCCGCACAAGTTGAGAGTCCCCCGGGACACATTGAGGGCCCGCACCCTCAATATGTTCCGGGGGTAATCCTATGCGGAGTTGAGGAAGGGGGCTTTAACACCTTGCTCCCCTGTCAGAACATCGGAAGGTCCGAAGACGGACGACTGTCGACGGGCCATGAAACGCTACAGCGATGTCACGAATGGCGTAAGATGGAACACCCCGGGCATTTAGTGCGGTTGGGCTGTTCCCCTTAAGATTCAGCGCAGTCTCGTATAATTCCAGCCCCGTCTGTACACAGATCATCATGTCATCTGTACACAGATTCCTCCGGGTCAAAAAGTAATGTATTACTGCTGTCTGGTTGGTTTTTTGAAGGGGTGGAACTACAGACACATGAGATTTGTCACCTTTATGTCTCTGGGTAATATTTATTTCTTAACAATATCTAGTAGTATTAGAGCTCCTTGTGAAAGAGCTCGTCCAGGGAAGTACTGCCACCTTACTTATTACTGCCGCCTAGCAGTAATGTCAACATTACTGCGGTGAAACTACAGACATATGGGACTTGTCAACTTATGTCCCAGGGTGACGGGCGCAGTGACACTGCCCCTCAGGTCTTTGCGTATTAAAGCTCTGAGTGGCACTGCAACTGCTTTAAATAGGCGTGTCGTGTACCACGGCCTGGTTCATCCGGTCACGTATATACACGTCATGACCAGGTGAAGTGTACTTGCATGGTATACTTACAATGGGCACAAACAATTGTCATCAACTTCTGCAACGCTTCAGGTTCCTCATGGATGATTGCCAGTTGAAGAATTCTTTGCAGGTTTAACTGAAATGAAAAAATACAGGTGGAAAAAAATTTAAGGTCCCCAACCCGCATTAGGGCAGCTTGAACTATGGGTTAAACACATTTCTTTGAGGAGACCAGTGCTAAGCCTTTGGAGTTAAGTTTCGTGGTTATAATTAACGTGGACCCCAAAGTAAAAGTTATTTTTTTATTGGTGGGCAGAAGCACCCGCTACAATAAATAATAATAAAAATAACAATTTATTTAATAAAGAAAAACAATGATATTACAAGTTGCATGAGAACAAAAACATTAGTTGTACAAGAAGAGAAGAAATGCCATTTAAAATGAATATACTAAACGATTTATAGGGGGGTCCCCTAGTAAAAGTTGTTATTGATTGATCTGTAGATTAAACGAAGACATGGCTCAAAGGACTTATATCCAAGCCAGAACTCTTAATAAAAAAAATTTGCTATGAAATCACTTCTACCACAAATTAAAAAACTAAAAGATTTGCATTATTTAGTAGATTAACAGTAAAAGTAAGTGCGCGTTCCTATTATGTTAAGTTTTGTTTGTCATAAGACGACTCATCATCATCAGTCATATTATATATAAGACGACTGTCGCGTCTAGCCTGTTCCCATATCACGACTATCTGTTGTGACTGTGTCGTGGAAGTTTATTTTATCGTTAAACGACTGTCGTGTCTAGCTGTTCCCACTAGAGCGTGACAATTGCCGCCTTGCCGTTTGCACGACAGAATCATTTGAAGCTGCGATTATCACACATTATTATCGTGACGTTTTATTCATCGTCCGATGGCTGTCGTTGTAGCTCTTCCCATTGTCACGATAGTCTGTCGTCGTAACGTCGAAAAAGTCACGAGTCAGTGACCGACAATAAGTTATGTAAAGTTGTTTTCATTGATGGGTTGAATGGACCCGCTACAATAAATAAATGTACATACTAAACGACTTGAAGGGGCCTTAATAGTAAAAATCGTTCGTATTAATAATAGGTGGAATTATATTCTAAAATATCAAATGAAAAGTCATCCTATTTTGATGCGTAAATCTTACCTTGTATGTGACTCCATCAATAGGATTCGGTATGTTCAACGATAGACTATCTTTCAATTTCGCAATCATCATGTTTTCGGTTGAACATATGTTGTTGTTCAAGTCTGAATTGTTGCCGTACTTGCCTAAGAACATGATAACGTCTCTATGTAGCTCTCGGGCTTCTTTTCCCGAAACATCTTTACGATTGCGTAGTTTTTCGATGAAGCTAATGGTCTGAAACAATAGTTGGAGTTTTCAATCGACTTGTGATATAAAACTTTAGAGTTAAGTTAACAAGAGTCGATGTGAAAAGCACTCGTGTACGATTACGATTACGATTACGCATGTTGGTGAATTTATACGGGTGTTTAATGGAAAATATAACAACAAATAATCGAATTAAATTTTTATTAAATGGATATTCAATTATTTTTTATAAAATTACTCCACTAGTTTTCTTTCAATAAAAATTTAATTAAAAGTTAATAGCGATATCTCTAGCCAGGGCTTGGTAGCTGTAAAGGTATCTAACTGGGTGACGCAATAATCTCATTTCAGAATGGCCAAATTAAATTTTCAATCGTTTATATTTTTGTAACTAATGTAGATAAGAAGCGTATACCTTTAATTCGTGAAAGTAGCAAATAGGTAGCAGTTATTGGTAATACATACTTCTGGAATATCTGCTCCCTTCATGCTGAACAAAGTAGCGACCAGCCATCCTGATATCAGAATGGCTGGTCATTTATTTTTATAAATTTCTCAGAATATATCAAAGGTAGCAATTATTTAGAAAAGGTAGTAAGTAGGTAGCAATTCTCGAAAATACACTCAGTGCCAGACGCCACAGGCGACCAGCCATCCTGACGGTCACGTTTTTTAATGATTCAACGTAAGCGACTGAATTTGTGCAGTGGCGCGTTTGCATTGATGCAACCGCGTATAAAACGCAAGTGTCGTGATGCAATCACCATCATAAACGCGCGTTTGTATCGCTACTAAAAATCGCCGTGTGACTTGGATCAAAATGGCTAAATTTGCATGTGATGTTCTCGATGACAGTACCGCGGGCGGTACACGAGATCAATGCGCGTTCGAATAGTCGTGATTCGTCGAATAGTGTCGTCTTGTTGCTAACCCACACATATTTTTTGATCAATCAAATTTAGAGCTGTCGTCGGAGGAAATAATTTCAGCAGTGTTAGAAAGACCACCAACATAGAATAGCAAAGATAACGACCACAAAAATAGAATGATTATTCATCACTAAAGAGCAGAATAGAGACACTATTCGATCATAATTAAATAGCTTTCCTTGTTTGTAGTAGAGGTACACGTCCTCTTGCGCCCATAATAACTTATACTCAATATATGAGTATCGACATCGCGCTCAAACTCTCGTTACGTCACTTGAGAGTACGTCACACGCGGGAGGCGAGGAGACCATAACGTCAGGCCAGGCCGTCAGAAGTCGAGCGCAGTCCAATTTTGCGTAGTTTTTATAACGTAGAACGTACCTCTCTTATGTTATTATTTATCGAAATATCTTTCTTCGACGTAATGATACTTTGGAAGCTCCGCAACGCATTAGACAAAATTCTTGGTTCCACGTCGTTTCTCGAGAACGTTATCTGAAATCAATGAAATTAAAGTTTATTTTATTTTATTAGTATAACATACAGTGAGTTGATTTGCATCCTCGCAATATTTAAGAAATTAATAATATAAATAATGCTAAATCATCTAAAAATATATTAATAAAAAAAATTCTGTTCAATATTTTGGCTAATTGTATCTAGTAAAGTTTAACAAAATTGTCCCTAAATCGTATGCAGCGCGCGAGGGCAGTGACCCCGCCATCCGCTGCACCGAGTGATAGGTAATTTTTCTCGATCCCTTTTTTATCTATTTTTACAAATATGTATGACAAGTATTAATATAATTTTCTAATTAGTTACATTAATTAGAAAAGTTGACTGTTGAAAAGTTGACTCTGTACCAGAGCCACCACCAGTCATGCAGAGATTCGCACGTGAGTTTCGTTTCAATTTTCCACATTTGGATTCACAATTTTGAAAGCAGAGACGATTTTTGCGCGCAATTCTTCGACATTCGTAATCTCCTCCGAGTAAATCAAACAAACGATTCACATCATGCGACAAGAATGATCGCGCACTTGCACTTGATGAATTTGTAGGTTCTGGTGAACCTGGTAGCGGTTCTTTTTTACACTAACTCTTGGTTACATACCAAACCACGTAGAATTGCGGCGAATTCAGCCTCCCACCCCGTCATTATGCGTAAGCGAGTACACTAGGGCAGGCGCGTGCGCTGCGCTTGAGAAAGAAAAAGATAGCAATACTTTCTCGGTTCCTCCGGCTGCGCTATGACGTTAACACGTGCCGTGCAAGTCAATGACCTTTGGATCAAGCAGGATTTTTTTAATTTTTTTTTATAACTTACAACGAGACGAACAAGTCGTGTGCCATCAGGCGCCATCAGGTAAGCTACACGTCTGTCCATAACAGTTATAGTGCCAGAGCTTTAAATTGCAAAGATCTGAGGGGCACTACCACTGAGCCCATCACCCTGAGACATAAGTTAACAAGTCCCATGTGAAATTACAGAATTTCACCAGCACCCTTACCCTTCAAAACCGGAACACAGTAATGCTGACATTACTGCTTGGCGGCAGAAATCGGTAAGGTGGCAGTACTTCCCTGGACGAACTTTCACAAGGAGCTCTACTGCTATTAAGGATCAGGTGATTGCAAATCGATGTTTACCGCAATTAAATAAGAATTTGGAAATATTTTTTTATTATTTTTTAGTGATTTGGATTCAGTTTCGGATATAGAATCACCTTTGTAAATATGGCGAAAATGCAAATCAACATCAACACATTGTATAAACTTTGATTTTTAAAGTTTAAATTGGAGTCTACGTGTCAAAGACGACGTGTTTGTGACTGTACAAAACAATTTACATGTAGTTCTAGCTCTAGTCTGCTCTCGTTCTCCGTCCGTCATCAGAGTCGTACAGAGCCTGAGGTGAGCCCCACAACGAGAATGAAAATTTTAGGAACCGGACCGGTTCTGCAAGCCCTACTCATCAGCACCGTTACTCGACCGAACTGCTTCACAAACAGCTCTACTGCAATGTAATGTACCATAATGTTATACCTGCAAAGCTGCTAACACGTCTTCCTCGTCAACGGTTCCAAGTGGAGCGTGAATAAGAACCAAACAAGATTCGCAAAGGAGTGACTCGTCCTTGCAGCGATCCATAGATATTGTCTAAAAAAAGAAATCAACACAAATGTAATTTATTTAGCAAAGCGACTTTGAACTGGCAATTGGTACTATGGTGAAGGTGCAGAAAAAATAATTTATATAGCATCTGGTTTATTAAATAAAAATACGTAGTTTTTAAATATTTTTATTACACATGTACGTATACTACGTATTTTTATTTAATAAACCAGATGCCATATAAATTATTTTTTCTTCACCTGGAAAGTTTTCAAAATTGAGGTAGTACCGGTGGCCAGTTCACAGTCGAAAGACTATTTTTAAGCAACTCTTGACTATTCCTATACCATTCCCTACATCCGTTATTTAGTTATTACATAACATTAATCCTAAAATATATAAAACATTAACTCTATTTATTAATAAAAATGATATCAATCTTTGATGACATTAAGTTTATGTATTATTATAGTTTATAAAACCACATCCTATTCCAAATTCCGATCCGTTCTATTCTTCCTATATCCTTCTTTCAATAACTTTGACATTGGCTAAATGTCCTGTACAGAGCCATAATAAAAAAAAGATATCTACTGTAGAATTTGAATTTGCCGCGGAACATACTGGAAGCGGATTTATGTAACCATAGCGGTGACGCCAATACATGAAAAAAAATTGGTTTTGCCTTCGATAGCTCATGAGGATGGATGAGCTCGTAAGTATAGAAAAGGGAGACAGTGCTAACACTAATCTTGAGATCCAAATGCTCAAGAGCTCCGCGGTCACAAATAACGCCACCACGAAATACAGATCACGGCTGAATGATATACAGATAAATAAAAATTGCGGAGAATGCGGACACTAAATTTTCTTGTGTGCCAGAGTCAGTTTTATAAGCCCTAACCAGTGACGCTAATATCGACTTTTGATTTTACCTTATAGAACTCTCGTATACAGCTTTCTTCTTCCAAATGTAAACAGGCAGCTCTTCCAGCTGCTACTGCAGATGCTATGCAACCAAATTGCTGTATAAGAGCAACAAGTAATGGTAGGTAAACAGCTGAGAGGTCCAGAGTGTAATTTTCTGGGTGGTGCATAGTCAGTATTCGAGATGTCAGGGTGTGAAGGTGGTGGAGTTTTTCTGGGGGTTTCTGAAATAAGGTGTACTAGATTGTTGAACAAGGAATATTTATAGAGTTCTTAGGTTTTCGCGAGTGTTACACATAGGAAAAGAAAATATTTTATCGGTTCCAAATTGCTATACTTGTTTTTTCAAACAAACCGTTTACAAAACGAAACACATTTTTTTATGAAATTTAATTTTAATAAAACGATTAAAATTAAATAATTTCATAATATATTTTAATTTTATTTCTTTATAATACCAAATGGCGGGACGAACTAGTCGTGCGCCTGGTGGTAAGCGACACGCCTATCCATAACAGTTGCAGTGCCACTGACAGTTTTAAATCGCAAAGATCTTATGTGCACTGCCAGTGCGCCCGTCACCATGAGACATAAGTTGACAAGTCCCATGTGCCTGTAATTTCACCAGCACCCTTACCCTTCCAAGCCGGAACGCAGTAATGTTTTTATTTATTTATTTGTATCGAGGTTACAAAGATCCATAAATACATACCTTATTATAGACTAACATACATAATAATACACTCACATAATATATACCTTAAGTAATAAAACACAAACGATACCTAACATACAAGTAAGCAATTTTACTTATTATTGGAAACCACTGGACACGACTCGCAAGGGACCGGAAAGAATGTCGCAATAGAGAGGAGGCCTGTACTCAGCAGTGGTTGCAAGCAGACTGAAATGAATGAAGGAATGCATGCAAAGAGTACGAGGGTGTACTCTTGTGTACTTGGTGTACTTTGTAAAGTACTTGGCCTCACCACCAGATTGCGCCACTATTGCAAAATAGTGTCACTATCGTATAGTACATTAACCTAGTCGGCCATTGTTAAATTTTCAGTCAAATCGGACTTTTAGTTTTGTTTTGACCACGTGTAAAAGCAGTCGTGTCCGCCATTTTTAGAAAAATGGAAAAAGAGCAATATCGGTCGGTAATTCGATTCTTGTTTTTGGAGGGGAAATCACGCAGTGAAATCAAAGAACGCTTGGATACTGTGTACGGTGACTCTGCTCCTTCGATGGCGACCGTCAAAAATTGGTTTAATGAGTTTCAACGTGGTCGCACGTCCGTTTTTGATGAGCCACGACCAGGTGCCCCGAAAACGGCTACCACGGAGGATAAAGTGACTAAAATACATGATCTCGTATTGGCAGACCGCCGGTTGAAGGTGCGCGAATTAGCTGAGACAGTAGGCATCTCAAAAGACCGAGTGGGTCATATCTTACATGAAATATTGGGCATGAGAAAGCTGTCAGCGCGATGGGTGCCGCGTTTGCTCACTCCAGACAACAAGCGCAACCGTGTGACCACTTCGGAGCAGGGTTTGACGCTGTTTAAGCGTAATCCGAAGGAGTTTCTGCGTCGTTTCGTGACTGTTGACGAAACATGGATCCACTGGTACACACCAGAGACCAAAGAACAGTCGAAACAGTGGACTTTACCTGGCGAACATGCTCCGAAGAAGGCGAAGACTGTCCCATCGGCCGGAAAGGTGATGGCCACGGTTTTCTGGGATTCACAAGGTATCATCTACATAGACTACCTAGAGAAGGGAAAAACGATCACAGGGCTCTACTATGCCGAATTATTGGGTAGATTCGACGTCGAATTGAAGAAAAAACGGCCCCATTTGGTAAAGAAGAAAGTGCTCTTCCACCATGACAACGCACCGGCTCACACCTCCGGCGTCGCTATGGCCAAATTGGTCGAATTACGCTACGAACTGCTGCCCCATCCAGCCTATTCTCCAGATTTGGCCCCTTGCGACTTTTTTTTGTTTCCAAACTTGAAAAAGTCAATCGCTGGGCAGAAATTTCGGTCGAACGAGGAGGTTATTGCCACTACAGAGACCTATTTTGCAGACCTTCCGAAAACATATTTTTTAGACGGACTAAAAAAGTTGGAGTATCGCTGGGTCAAGTGTATCGAGCTAAAAGGAGACTATGTTGAAAAATAAATTGTCACTTTTCCAAAATTTTCGTTTTTCTTTTGTAGGCTAAGTACTTATCGGACCACCCTCGTATAACACGTGCTTTAGCATTGTTCAGTTTCATTCGGGTATACTCGTTACTTTAAAACTCGTTCTCGAATAAAACTGAGAAATTCTAAATACGCGGGTTATAATCAATTCAGTGAACTCAGAACTTTAAAACGCTCCCCTGTAAACTTGTCAATTTCGACATACAATACGTAACATAGGAGGGGTCGATATTATTTTTTTATTACAATATTGTAGTGGGGCACAATGACTGGGCAAAGATCTCCCCCAAAATCCTCCACAGCTCCCTGTGTTTGGCGATCCCACCACTCCCTCTCAAACCCATCAAAGTCCCACCAACTAGAATATTTAAATAATCTCAGTACAGAGTACTAAAAAAACCGACTTCAAAGTAAGTGGAATTACGTCTATTTGCTAAGTTTTATTGAAATATCCGTAAATTCGCCACTGTACAGGACTTGACAGTGGAGATAATAAAAATCGGTTCTCACTACTCAAAGTATATTGAGAGAAAAACGCCTTGAATTGGAGAAAAAGCAAAATCAACCATTAAAGTGATTGCTCCTAAATTAAAGTTAGGCGCTATTTATAAAAATGAATCTTCATGCGTGAACAGCCACCCTTCGAGGTGGATGCTTTTCTTCAAAATGAAATGGGACCACTATGGAAGTACCCCCTTTCCAACAAAAAAGAATCATGAAAATCGATTCACAAATACCGGAGTTATCGCGTTACATACATAAAAAAAAGAACATACAGACGAATTGAGAACCTCCTCCTTTTTGAAGTCGGTTAATAATAAAAATTGTCACCAAAATCAGGTAGAGAAAACTAACTGGAAGATTACCCAATTACTTAAGATAGTCGTGAACAGTAGACGATTTTATATCTACATTCTTCTTCACATACCTCGCACTCTTCTTCAATGAGTTGCTTCAACACACCAATAACGTATGTCATGAAATCTTCAAAGATATATCTGCATTTGTCAAGGACATTAATGTCTTTCATGTCGAAGAGATCTCTCCAAAGAGGCAGATGTTTTTCTATTGTTGTTTCATCTTGTATAGTTTCGGTGGTTAGGAAAATTATGGCTCCCTGGAAGAAGGACAAGAACGGTATAAACACTAAAATCGAACACACAGAAAACTTTTCATCGACCAGGTCCATGCTGCACCGTAGCATTGCTCCATCGAGTACATAACCAAAAATAGAGACGGAAATGTCATTTAATTTGTTTAAAAGCTATTCTGCCAAATCATTACGGTGACAACTGCGCTCCAATTGGCCAGCCCGAAATCGATACAATTGACGGGTGTCGTCAATTGATATTATCTTTATTACAATAAATACAGAACATTTTTGGAATATACGGAGAGGTCAGTTGTTGGCGCTGTACTACTTTAGTGTTCTAATTTGTGATTTCAGCGCAATCGAGAGTGAAATAAATAAATAAATAACGCACACACTCAACATAGCCCCGCACTAGGGAAACCCTGTGTCGCGGGTGCCATGGACACACACATTACACCCAAATTACACCCAAACTCACGAGAGAAATAATTGTAGGCCATACAACTATTTCTCCCGGCCCGGGAATCGAACCTGGGACCTCTGCGTGGCAGTCCGGCATGGTAACCGTTCGGCCACGGAGGCAGTTAAATGGCGGCCGAAGAAAAACTTGCTTCGATCCGGCTGAAAATTGAGATGCTGAAAAGGTTGTAACCCTAAATAGCCGTGAACAGGTTCACGGCAATGAAACGGAAAAATTCCGGTCCACAAAATTTATTAAAGAAGTAAAGTTTAAAGAAAGGAGCCTAAATGGGCCGAGTAACTGAATTACAGATATAGGTACACGAAGGCTGTAAACTTATAAATTATTACACATGATTTAGTTTACTTAATGATTATAAACGTAATAAAGAACCAAAATTAGCGATTATTCGCGATGGAATTTGAAACAGCTCCGACTGTTGTAGCGGTCGAGCTGGGAGTGACCGTGGTACGAAAACAAAATGAGAAAGTGAAGGAAGATGGAACAATTCAAATTTAAAATTTAAATACATGTAAAATAAAAAAATGATAGGATACAAGCGGAGAGAGGTGATACAAAAAGGTGAAATGACGGTGTAAGGTCACACCGTCACAATGCGAGGGTATTTAGGAGTCCTTAATCATAATTTGGGGTCAAAAATTTCTTTTCGTTAAAAATAGCTGCCGAAAGAGATTTGCTCTGATTCGACTGAAAGTTGGCATGTGAAGGCCACTAGAAATGTCGGATAATAATTTGTGCTCAAAATTTGTTTTTCGCTATTTTCAAATATGGCCGTCATAGAAGCGTTCGTCGGCGGCAGAAAAAAAATTGCTCAGATCCCTTTGAAAATTGGCATATGGGGGTCTCTAGGAGTGCTTGATAATAATTTGTGATCAAAATTGGTATTTTGCCATTTTTAAATATGGCCGCCACACAAATTCTTTTCGCGGCAGATAAAAATTTGCACTAATTCGATTGAAAATGGACATATCGGGGTGTTTACGAGTGTTTAATAATAATTAGCGGTTAAAATTTATTTTTCACCATTTTTCAATATGGCTACCATACAAACTTTTTTGGCGATAGTTACAAATTTCTTCTAATTCGACTGAAAATGACATGGCATCATAAATTGGGGTAATTATGTTTCCGCTGTTTTTTTATATAGCCGTAATTTATTTATGTAACTTGCTTTGCTCGGACTGAAAATTAGCACGAAAAGATTTTTACGATTGTTTGATAATAATTAGTGGACATAATATATTTTTGTAATTTTTAAATATGGCCGCCGTTAAAGAGCTATTTAATTTTTTTTAAAACAAAGTCCTAAGTGCCGAGGCTGCAGGCCGAGTCCCGCGGAAGGCGAAGCCCGAAGCGTCCGCACGCCTTCGTATGGAGGTAATTATAAACGGAGGCGTAATAGATTACGAGTACAAGATCTCACAATTGTAAAAATGTAAGACATACTTCCCGATGTAGTGGAAATTAGATACTTATTGTAGCGTTGTTGTATCTCAACCACACCTGTTAGATTCCATTTTCTTGAAAGCTATGCCAAAGAGAAGTATTTAACGGGAAAAAATGCCAAACTACTGCCGAATTTCCTATACTATGAATACCAAAACAACGATAATCCAGAATACTCAGACCAAAACCAACTTAGAAATGTTCGTTACTTAAATTGGCCCAAACCGGGAATCGACCTCATCAAGCGCCCATAGCACTAACTGCTGTACCACCGAAGAGCATGAGCACACCCCGTAAACTGTTCCCGACCACGCGCCGCAAGCCGAGCCCGACCCCACCGAAGGTGGGGTACAGGGCTCGTATAATATATACCTTAAGGAATAAAACACAAACAATACCTAACATACAAGTAAACAATTTTACTTAGTTTAGCTAGCTTTTTACCTAGGCTAACTTGCACTACTAACCTTAATTAAAGTTATGTAATATGTAAACATACAATAATTTCACTGTTTGTGATAGTCTGGCGCGTATATGTAAACCGAAGGTTATTTAATAAGATTCGTGTAGTTAGGTAAAATTTTTATAGAGAATAAATTTATCTTTATCTTTAATATAGTAAAACACAATTTCTAGGTTATTTATTTATTCTATTTATTTATTTAAAATATGTAATGTTAACATTAATGCCGGAAAGGTAAGCGCGGAAGAGTGATAATCAAACACGATGGTCGGATGTACACTGGTCAATTCTAGAAATATTCACGTGGGTCCCCCCGCCTAAGCGCCTACTCACACACATATCAGGTACTTACATTTCTAATATCAGAAGCGGCGTTCAAGATTCCATATGCAACGGTACTTTTCCGCGTACTCGCCGGTAGATTATCATAGCACAAGATAGCTGTCTGTAATAACTTGTCGCTGTTGGGTAGATTACAATCTATACTGTAGGATATCTGTAAGAACAAATTCAATCTGAAATATTTTTTTCATCACACTTGCACGTAAATATATAGTATGATTGCATGCAGGGTAACTTGACTATAATGCCCCAAGTAAAACCCTCGGGTGTTTTTCCTCTCATAACAGCCATGGTCGTGTAATGAGAAGAAAAAAGTCCCGATTTTATTTGGGGCATTATACATACTATTATGTGTACTTACATATTTAAATACTTTTCACATCTCATGCTCTTAAAGTTCGTATTTATGCTGGGTGTAGGCTGCATAAAATAGGATTATATGCTCTAGTGCATAAAATAAAATCGTCGTTTAAGACCGAGGCAATGACGCCTGCGCCAACAGCCACACACACTAGAACTTTATAAAATAAAGGCATCTCAAGTTCATAATAAAATACAAAGTAATACACTGAACATGTCAGGAAAATTTTTTTGTGATTTTATATCCAATTTTAATTAGTTAATCGTTTATTTGTAATATTGCTGTTTAATTTCCTCGCAATCGAAGTGAACAGCAGAGTGAACAACTCGTTCATAAAACCCATTTTACCCTCGACTTAACTCGACACTCGTTTTGGGTAAAGCACTAGAGCATAAAATCCTATTTTATGCATGAGAAGTGAAAAATTAATCACTTACTGCTAATGCCGTATCATACTCCACCGCTCCACTTCTGAGTTCAAATTCAAGATTTTGTACGTCGGTTTGTACGTTTGTCGTAAACACAATAGACGATTTCGATTGTATGTCTTGTAGTACACGAAGGGCTGTGTACTTTGTTTGGGAGTTTGCTGATTGAGCGTGGTGTAGAAGCTCCTTGACTAAATTCTGAAAAAGTAAAGGCAATGTGAGATTTTGGTCATACGATATTATAGCGTGTTTTTGAATCCATAGATACGTCTTCAATATCGCACTGATTGTAATTTGGTATGACATTGGAACCAAAAAAAAACCGACCTCAAAAGTACGTGGAATCACGTCTATTTGCTAAGTTTTATTGAAATATCCCCTAGTTCGTCACTATACAGGACTTGACTCTGGAGATAATAAAAATCGGTTCTCACTACTCAAAGTATATTGAGAGATAAAAAACGCCTTGAATTGGAGAAATAGCAAAATCAACCATTAAAGTAATTGCTCCTAAATTAAAGTTAGGCCCTATTTATAAAAATGAATCTTCATGCGTGAACAGACTTTTCGAGGTGGATGATTTTCTTCAAAATGAAATGGGACCACTATGGAAGTACCCTCTTTCCAAAAAAAAAGAATTATGAAAATCGGTTCACAAATACCGGAGTTATCGCGTAACATACATACAAAACAAAACATACAGACGAATTGAGAACCTCCTCCTTTTTTCAAGTCGGTTAAAAAAGCATAATGAAATTTATTAATAAAATTGAGTTATATAAAGATTAGGAGAAAAGGCCGATCTGCGTAATTAATTAATCGACTTAAAAAGGAGGTTTTCGATTAGACTATATTTTTTGTGTATGTCACGCGATTACGTTGGCATTTCGTTGGCTTACTTTGTCAAACTCGTATCTTAAAGCACAAAGTTACTGGAATGCAAAAAAAAAGGGATACTATATGATACAAATTTGGCATGATTCGCTCTGGACCTTTTGGAGGGAAAAGTGTCGTTTTTATTTTGACTTTCAATTATTTTGTGAAATCTAGTTTAAAGTGGAATAGGATAGTGCTATTGTGCCTTAATCGAAGATTAAAACGCGAAATTATACGAATCTCGAACTAAAATACCCGTATCGGCCCGTTTTAAGGAATCCCGAGTCAATCCAAGCACGCCGCCTCAAATTGCCTATCCTCTATGTGGCGGCCATATTTACAGAAACATATTGAAACTTATTCTGCTAAGCGGAAAACTCGACACTGGCGAAATCTTAAAAAGAAGGAACCGCCATTGAGCAAAACGAAGAAGAAGAATTTGGCATGTCACATCATATTTCCTTCATATTCACACACTGGCTTTTGCCTATTCTTAAAGTAATGCATGCAAATTAACACCCTTCATAAGAAATTTAAAATAAATAGAAAGTTTTGCCGTCCCCTGAATAATCTCTCTTTATAAAATACGAGTTTGAGAAAGTAAGGCATCAATTTGTAAACCGATTTTGATGATTCTTTTTGGTAACCTCAGTATTGGTCCCACTTAAATATGAAGAAAATATTCCACCTCTAAGTGTAGCAAATAAGGGGATAAATTAGGTTTATTGTATTTCAACCGCTTTCTGTTAACGGTTTTCAATAAAACTTGGCAAATAGATGTAATTCCACAAAAGTGTTTCGTATTGATGAGTAGGTAGAACACCTGAAGAATGAGGAACCCCTCAAATGGCTTCTTATTGTTGATTGTACCCATTAATGAGAACAACTGTTACTACGGTGAACTCACGTTAATAATTTTTTAACAGACTTCAAAAAAAGGAGGAGGTTCTCAATTCGTCTGTATGTTTTTTTCGTATGTATGCCACGCGATAACTTTTGTGAAGGATGATTCTTTTTTTGTTGGAAAGAAGGTGCCTCGGTATTTGTCCCATTTCATCATCATCATTCATATCAGCCGGAAGAGGTCCATAGGCCTCCCCCAAAGATTTCCAGACCAGCCGATCGGACGCAACGTGCAACTACCGGTTACCAACCGCTCTTATCAGGTCATCCGTCCATCTAGGGGGCCGTCCCACTGAACGCCTTCCGGTTCGTGGTTTCCAATCGAGAACCTTTCTGCCTCAACAGCCGTCAGTTCTACAATCTACATAGCTTGCACATGCCCTGCCCATATAAAATTTAGTCACATATGGACCCATTTAAATTTGAAGAAACTATTCCACCTCTAAGGGTGGCAAACTAAGGGATGAATCCGGTTTCAGCACTTTCCGGTAACCAATTTCAATAAAACTTGGCAAATAGATGTAATAACGAACTTTTGAGGTCGGTTTTTTAGCACTCTGCACTGAGATTATTATTACCTGTATATTTTGGTTGTTTCTGCTATTGCAGATGACCATAGAGCACGCGCGAGCCGCAACGTGATGATTGTGCGACCATAAATAATGTCTCAGAGCGGCGTCACGGGTAATACGCTCAGCGAAAAGATTGGCATAAGACGTCAGGATGTCGACACAGACTGGAACACAAAAATAGGTTTTATCACGTTTTCCTTCACCGAAAACATCGAGTATATAAACAGAAATAGAGACGAATTAATGTTATTTAATTTGTTTGAAAACTATTCTGCTAAATCATTACGGTGACAACAGCGCTCCGATTGGCCAGCCCGAATAATCGACCAGTTTAACTTGAGCTTCACTATAATGAACGGAAATTGCATAATTACATATTTATTATTTAATTACCGATGAAAAGTGATTCCGATTGTTTTGTAATTAGATGTTTTGCTGTTTTTCCCACACCACCGATGGAACAGTCCCTATTATTAGAGATATTTCTTTATTACAATAAATACAGAATATTTATGGAATATACGGAGACGTACGCACAGGTCAGTATTTGGCGCTGTAGTATTCCTACTATCTATCGTCTACCTGATGAGTAGCCAGGGATAGATGGCCCTTATTTCATCTCTATTTCAGGTTATATACTCGATGCTCTACGCTTGTTGGTATTGGAATATATCCGTGGTCGAGTGGCTTGCTCACCGGTTTTTATGGTGTCGCAATCTTTAAGGTCCCGCGTTTGATATCCGGCCGGGTCAATGTAGAATTGTAGATGTTTTAAATAAATATTGTTTTCACATGACTAGCTCGGAAAGGCTTTCTTTCTCATTAGAAGTGATATAAGGCTCATTTGCCTGATGAGTGCCAGGGATGGTTGGCCCTTATTTCGTCTCTATTTCTGGTTACATACTCGATGACCGAAAAGCTCATGGTAAATTTCAAATTTTTAGCACATAACTTCCGAGAAAGTCAGACGTGCGAGCCCGGATTAGAACCCACGGCCTCTGCTTGAGAAGCTACCGCCGTCAAACCATTACACTACCACGGCTTAAATTAATTGTTGTTTATTGTTTTTTTTTCAATTAAGAGTTTTGACTTGGATACAAGTCCTTTGAGCCATGTCTTCGTATAATTATCGGCATCCTCATTAAATTTAACATTACGTTGTCACTTTCACTTTAATCACATTATCGTCACTGAACAAAACTTTGAATTCGTAATTATTAAAATTTTCAGGATAAACTCTTTTGTAATTTGGTTCAAAATAAGGAATATAGTTCTAACTTTCTTCACCACTATTTCTTTATGTATATGAATAATTAATGTAAAGAATTCGAGTGATGATTCCCGTTCATATGGAGAATAATCCGACGATTCACTATAATAAACAATAACACTATTGCAATTATTTATAATTGTAACAAACCTACTTTATAATAATAGACGGCCTTAAGTCAGATTGCTCACTTTTAGTTCTCTAAGAATCCGCTAGATGGCATTGATCCATTTGGCGTTATTTTTGAATCGCGGTGTTAAGATTTTCCCTCGAATGGTGACTACTCGAAATCAATTTTATTAATGGGAAGAGAAATCTGAGAATACAGAGAGCTCAGTATGGCAACGAGAAGTCGAGTCCCTTCTTGGGAACTGCTACCCAGATCTTCTGATTTTTTCTTACGCTCATATAGGGTGAAAAAACCTCATCTCGCAGAACGGTTTCCAGGAGTCGAGTCCCTTCTGGGAACAATTGCCCGGACTTTCCGCATAAAGGGTGGAATTGTATTGGCGACATACAAGGTGAAAATAAAAATCTTCAACCATTTGGAGTTTCACTTGGCTTGTTTTGGTAACCTCATCCAACGGAAGAAAGAACCTGTCCTTTACATTATTTAATTTCATCATAATTTATGAGACAGGTACCAAAATTTATCAACTTGTATAATCTTTGTTACATAATCTGTTAACTCGATAAAATATATCGGAGCTAAAGAGCAAGTCTCTTCACTAAAATAAAAGAATCCAGGAAGTATTTTTTTGTCTATACTTGTATGTCAATAATTACGGAACTTCGGAGGCATGCATATGTCAAAAGTTACTCGTACGTCAGAATCATTCACAATCACGCATCGCCAGAAGAAGCCATTCCGACGCAACTTACCAGGTTCACACTTCTTGATTTTAATGAAGACACCAGTTAGTTTATCATAAAACTCGTTAAGTTCAGCCGTGGGTAAATTGCAGCCGAAATGTTTGAACAAGCCTAAGATACCTTGAAGGACAGCTGCGTTTATCGTATCCTGAAAATAGATTATAGTACATTATTGCAGAGGCCGGGAAAGGGATAATCACGGAACAAAAAAAAACAATGGAAATGTCTTAAGCCGCGATTACTATGAGAACCGACGTCGCCAAAATTCATACATTCTTAATTTGAAAGGTATCACAGTTTCAAATTTAAAAAGAAATAACAAATTCTGGATTGTTAATATAATTTAAACTTTATCCTGTTGGCATATCGTTGAAAGTTCAATAACATCAATACCTATTATTGCAAGTTACGTTTTGACATGATATTTAATTTTCAATCAATGTACTGCCATCTAGCGGTTAATTGATAACGACGACGAATTGGAGTAATTAATTTACTAAATGATTATCAATAGTATCAGGTTTCTTACCACGGTATGACTTCTTTTTATTTTCCCCATATTTCGGAACGGTTGCACGCTCCATGGTCACGGGTTGACTGGACGGCGGCAGATGACAGCTTTATGAGCAGACATATCTGTCTACCCTCTTGCGCTGTCGACGACTACCTTCATCGCGATTTGTTGTGGCGTTACCATTGTCACTCACTTTTTTCACACAAACCACACTCACTGTATCTACACGCGAAACTGAACTCGAGGTGTTTTTGTTTTTATTACTGCACGCACTAAGGACCGGATTCCATGCACTGGACAGTTATACCGTGGTAAGAAACCTGATACTAGTGATAATCATTTAGTGAATAACCACGAAAGTCTTAAAATCTGTAATTAATTTAGTTCTCCAAAAAAGAAGCGACCTTATTGCAGGGGTATAAGCTTTACTTTCGTTTCTTGTACAAAAAAAAATATTTCGAAAATTTATTAAGAGTTATCGAGTTCTTAGGTTTTCGCGATTGTTACACATAGGAAATGAAACTATTTTTCCGGATTTAAATCGCGTATATTATTAAGAGTTTCCAATGATATGAAATAATATAAACCACGGGTGATATTTTTGGAGCGGCTATTATTTTTGCACTCCAAAACTGCACAATAAGGCATTTTTGTAGAATTTTAGAGAATTTGCACGAAAGAATGACACAACCATACCATACAAAGCGAAAATGGCGGACTGAGCTCAGATAGGTCTTTCGAGACCTATAGTTGGCACGCGTCAGAAGCTAATTAAAAAAATAAAAAACGGAAATAATAAATTGATCTATTGTAAATGACAGTGCACTTTTTAAAATAAACGATATTTTTTATGTTTGATATATATTAATTGTTCCTTCTATATTAGTTGATCTACGGATAATTACAAATGAACTGCATTCAAGGTAACACTATCATTATGTTTAAGCATATTAAATTAATATATGAAAGTCAAAAATAATATTTGATCCTCTTTTATAGCATTCGTCTTTTCTTTTAACGATTGATGATATTTATAACCAGTATATCTTTTGATATTGATCTCCTAATAAATCTTGATTGCCTGGTCGCGTCCTCCATTCCATAGGTTAGATTAGGTTGGTATATGAACTTGCGAGGCGGCCTGCTTGCTAGCGTCTCCCCCCTGGGATTTGGAGGCGAGAATACTCGCCGCAGTTTATGTGTGGCGTGAGGAGGCGCCTATTCGGGACCACAGACCAACACCCGAGGAGATCCATCTCCTCGCGTCAAATACTCCACGACGAGTGGCGACGAAGACTAACGCCACCCCACGCTGGTCTCCGAACAGTCGAGGCAGTTCGTCCAGTCTCGCCGTTCGGCCAGCCACTCCGACACTGGCGTCCTGACGTTCCGCATGACACAGGTGCTCTCGGGGCATGGTTGCTTCAGGAAGTACCTGTGCCGAATCGTCGGAAGGGAGCCTACTTCAGTGTGTCACCACTGTGACAACTGTCTCGAAGGGACGGCCCAGCATACGCTGGAGGAGTGTCATGCATGGACTGAGCAGCGCAGTACCCTTGTCGCCGCCGTGAGGAGTGACCTTTCTCATCCGACCATAGTTCGCGCAATGGTTGGGAGCGAAACGTCGTGAGACGCAGTCCTGGCATTCTGCGAGGTGGTTATGTACGGAAGGAGGCGGCGGAAAGGGAAAGGGAAAGTACAGCCCCTACCCCGATTCGCCGTCGGAGAGTGGGTCGCAGAAGGAAAGCTATGGCTGCCGACATAGGTGGGCAACGGGTGGCGAAAGCCCCCGTGACATGGGTCCATGAGCGGCAGACTTAGGGGAGTCTGTCACTCGTTAGAAGTGGACCCGAGATGGCGGCGTACGTGTTCCACGTTTGCCTCTCAAGATTGCTGACGGGGAGACAAGAACTCTCTCCGGGATGGGGTTCGGCGCTGTCGGACCAATCACCGTCAGAGTCGCGGAAGAATGCGCAAGCGTCCGCGTGACTTCGGCACATGGAGAGTAGATGGAACACCGTCAGGTTTTAGTCGGTAGGAGTCCGACATAAGGATGAGGGCTCCATGAGGATTTCCTGACGTTAAAAAAAAAGATATATGCAAAGGCAACACGAGTCAAGCGAGCCGCGGCCGGCAACTGCCAGAAACCATTTTGCTTGCGTTTCCGAACACGTTTTCAGGTCAAATTATATTATAAGTAACATAATATTGGTATACAAATATAATCAACAATTACTTAGTTATGAAAACGAGTATCTAAATTTTATTTTTAATGCTCATTTGTCTTAGTATTAGTATAATTGCCTCCGTGGCCGAACGGTTACCTGCCGGACTGCTACACAGAAGTCCCAGGTTCGATTCCGGGACCGGGAGAAATAGTTGTATGGCCTACATTTATTTCTCTCGTGAGTTTGGGTGTAATGTGTGTGTCCATGGCACCCGCGACACAGGGTTTCCCTAGTGCGGGGCTATGTTGAGTGTGTACGTTATTAAATAAAACTATCAAAGTTAATTTATACAAACCCAACATTTTTTGCGTAGCTCAGAACAGATTAAAATATCCATCGATTTAATTTATTTTACATCTCAGAGAAAGAGGATCAATCATTAAAAAAGATGACCGTTTATATTATTAAGCCGTTTGTTTTTGCAAATTTAAAAATATCACTTAAATACATGTCGTCGGGAAATAAAGGGTTGCCGGAATAGTGCGACCCGCACTCGGCTTTGCACACGAGTCAAGCAATCCCGCCGAGGTATATTACAGCGCTTTTCTCAAATAATGCGAAGAAATAATAAAAAACTAAAGAATTAATGAGAACGAATACTACAGTGAACATATTATTTTTAAGAATGAACTCTGGCATCCTTTTTAATAATTTCAAGTGACGGGACGAGCAATTCGTGCGCCTGGTGGTAAGCGACACACCTATCTGTAACAGTTGCAAAACCGCCCAGAGCTTTAAATCACAAAGACCCGAGAGGCACTGCCACTGCGCCTGTCACCTTGAGACATAAGTTGACAAGTCCCATGTGCCTGTAATTTCGCCAGCACCCTTATCCTTCCAAACCGGAACGCAGTAATGCTCACATTACTGCGTGGCGGCAGAAATAGGTAAGGTGGCAGTACTTCCCTGGACTTCACAAGAAGCTCTACTGCTACTAGAAAGCCTGCATAGATTCTTACTATGTAAATAAAAACTTACAGTATTTTTATTAGAATCCAGTTGATTGAGGTAAATTCTCCATACATAGATAACGTCATCTGGAGCAATCATTTCTGGGTGATATTCGCATATTGTACCTGAAACAATTAACAGCGTTATTTCATTTATCATCGTGTAATTCGATTTAATTCCGCCTTGTCCTTTCCATCATCAGGGGACTAGAGGCAGGCTTGGGTTCCACCCCTATTGTAAATGAAACCAGAAGTGAGCAATACTAAAGGTATAATTTATTTATATAATTATTTTTTTTTTGCAATACACATAAGAGACAAATCGATCTACAAATTTTCTAAAAGTAAAAATGCGCGCGTGCGCCATTTTTCTTCGCTTTTATATCCCATTCTCCTCACTCCTCTTGTACAGTGTTGCCAAGAATTCACTTACAAACTTACTAATTTTACATTAAAAAGTAATAATTGTCTATAGAAACACAAATAACGAATGCAAAAAGGTAGCAACGCGACATGAGACCTTACACTATATTGTAGATATTCCAAAGATATTATAATATTCGTACGAAGCGTTACGTTTCCACATTTAATACCCTGCCTGCAGACGTGTCCTCTGAACGTTATAAATTGGGCCGTTTCAAGGCGATAGTGAATAGGAAATTATTTAGGTGTGCATGCTCCATCGTCGACTTCATCGTCACTTTCCATTAGATGAGATGGACGTCAAATGCGCACTTACAATTGTATAAAAATACAGCGATGAATAGTGATCAGAATTTAGGGATTAATATATTTTTTCTTTTCACCTCACTAGCTCGGAAAGGCTTTCTGTCTCATTAAAAATCTGTGCGCAAAAATGTGTATGCTTTCGATGAAAAATAATGATAATGACACGTTCAACTACGCGATTTGTCATATTTTTAACCAACTTCAAAAAAAGGAGGAGGTTCTCAATTCGACTGTATGTTTTTTTTTGTATGTATGTTACGCGATAACACTGGTAATTCTGAACCGATTTCTATGATTAGTTTTTTGTTGGAAAGAGGGTACCTCCATAGTGGTCCCATTTAATTTTGAAGAAAATCCAACTTTAACGGTGGCTGTTCACGCATGAAGATTAATTTTTATAAATAGCGCCTAAATTTTATTATGAGGAGCAATTATTTTAATGATTGATTTTGCTATTCTCTAATTCAAGGCGTTTTTCTCTCTCAATATACTTTGAGTAGTGAGAACCGATTTTTATTATCTCCTGTGTCAAGTCCCGTATATTGGCAAACTAGGGGATGAATCCGGGTTAGCGCACTTTCCGGTAACCGATTTCAATAAAACTTGGTAATTATATGCAATTCCACGCACTTTTGAGATCGGTTTTTTTAGTATTCTATACTGAGATTATTACTGTTTGTCTTCCGTCTTTAATTCCGTCCCTTTACTAGATATCATAAAAAAACTACAGCTCAAGCCCTCCCATTGTGAGAGAACACCTGTGCCCAGCAGTGAGACTATATCTAAGCATTATTTACCGATTAAAACAGCCATCGGAGCGCGACCGGTCTGCGATTGTTCGAAACTGGCGATATGTCGCGCGATATCTGCAGCTGGGACGCTCGACAGGCGTGCGACTTTTGTTAAACACTGAATCGCGGAGTTCCGAATTTGTGGTGTGTGGGTGAGATAGCAGATCTGAAAACATGTACAATAGAATAAGGATTATCTCACACAAAAGAGGTTTTAGTAGCAGTAGAACTCCTTGTTAAAGAGTTCGTCCAGGGAAGTGGTGCCACCTTATTTCTGCCGCCAAGCAGTAATGTGATATGAAGTAATTTTCTGTGATATAAAATAAACTGCCTCCGTGGCCTAACGGTTACCATGCCGGGCTGCCGCGCAGAGGTCCCAGTGTCGATTCCCGGGCTGGGAGAAATATTTGAATGGCCTACATTTATGTCTATCGTGAGTTTGTGGTTGTCCATGGCACCCACGACTCAGGGTTTTCCCTAGCGGGGGCTAAGTTGATTGTGTACGTTATTATTATTAATGGGACTTTTTATAATAGTTGCAGTGCCACTCAGTGCTTTTAAGCTGAGATTCCGCCAGTGAGGGCAACATAAAGCGCGATGTATTGCTATTCTCGCATACTGCCGTCCACTTAGTAAAACGCTAAAAGTGACAAATAGTCATCATGGTTTCAAATAGCAAAAATTAGAGCATACAATTCTGTTTTAAAAACAGTTAAAATTAGTTAACGTGTTCGCCTTATCGGACCTTAGCCTAACGATGCATAGCTGAAATATCATTAAACAATCAATACTCCAATTAGCAGAGTTAGTCAGTTTAAATATCTAGGCCACTATTTGACTGACAACTTAAAGGATGACGTAGATGTTGAACGGGAACGCAGGGCGCTGGCGGTGCGGGCGAACATGCTGGCGCGCAGATTCACTCGGTGTACAGCCGCAGTCAAAATAACGCTATTCCAAGCATACTGCACTTCGCTGTACGCGGGTGCGCTGTGGTCGAGCTGTTCGCAGCGCTCGCTCGGTAGGCTGCGCGTCCAGTACAACAATGCCTTCAGGGCGCTATTGGGGCTGCCACGTTTCTGCAGTGCGTCCACCATGTTTGCCGAAGCGCGAGTGGATAGCTTTAATGCTGTGTTGCGAAAGAAGATTGCCTCGCTTTTGACCAGAATACGTGGCAGCACTAACAGCCTTCTGATGACGATAAGATGTGAGTGCTCAATAATACAACACTTAATTAATAATACTTTGTCTTGTGTAAAATATGTATTCTAACGTAGTCATAAGTAAAATACTAACAAAATGTGGATCTAGTTGTCTGAACAAATTAATTTTATTATTATTATTATTAATACTAAAACTGGGTTATGGTTTTTTATGATATATCAAAAATAGTTATTCATTATGCAAGGCTGCAAAGTTGTTATTTGAGGCGAGTGCTTGTATTGAATCCTTAGCAAGCGAAGGAAGCTATGTGTCGTATTCCAGAACTCTACTCAATACTCAAGTCAGACCTTGAGTATTGCAGTGAGCACTGAAAATCATACAACTCAAGTCCTTGCCATTAGGGTAGTATTTCCAGTGCTTGAAATCATACTCAAGTCTGCTCAAGTCAGGATCTGAGTATGATTTCAAGCATTGGAAATACGACTCTAATGGCAAAGACTTGAGTATGATTTTCAGTGCTTTAAATCATACTCAGATCCTGACTTGAGCGTTGAGTAGAGTTCTGGAATACGACTCTTAGACTCCTGAGCGTAGCGAGGGTTTCAAGCAACGAAACGCAAAACAACTTTGCTGCGGAGCAAAAGGGAAATGGTAGATGAAAGAAAAACAGTTGAACATCACTTTTTTAATTAAAAGAAAAAGTTTATCTTCGGATGCATTCTGATTTTACACCTCATCAATTTTTATTCTTGCTTGTAGTTTTTATTTTGTGTGATTAAATGAGTATTGAAATTATTTTAGTTTTTTGACAAATTAAAATAATTTAATAAACACAATAAGTTGTCATTGTTAATTTAATTCTAAAAACTTTTTGATTTCAAGTGAAACAATTGACGACACCGGTCACTTGTTTCGAATTCGCGCTGGCCAATCGAAGCGCAGTTGTCACCGTAACGATTTGGCAGAATAGTTTTCAAACAAATTAAATGATATTTCGGCTATATTTCTGGTTCTATGTATACTCGATGGCCGTAAGTAAGACAGCTAAAGAAAAAATCCACGAATAGGATTACTTAACTTTCCGAGATCGCTTAGCACAGCTCTAAATATTTGTACATACAAAAAAGTGAGAGTTGTGTGCGAGGGATGCAAGCGAGGTAGGCGAGCCGTCGCTTCACCTCACCACACCGCACGCACCCGCGCATAGCTGAAGCGAGTCCGCTATTCATCCTCACACCGCTCAATTACACACCGTTTCACAGCTTCATTACGCATCCTCACACCGCCTAGCTATCTCGCACATCAATTGTGGAACTGCAGCCTACATCACAATCAGGGGTACTGCCACTGTGCTCGTCACCGTCAAACATAAGTTGACAAGTGGGATTTGTGGCTGTAATTTCACCAGCACCCAGAATGCACCAATGCTTACATTACAGCCTGGCGGCAAACACAGTTAAGGTGGTAGTACTCTTGGTGGTTGATACATATTTATCAAATAACTTTTAAAATCATTTAATATACTTACATCAACAATGTCCACAAAATATTTTTCAAAAACATCCTTCCACCGTTCCACATATTCGCAAATCAACTTGAAGAAATCTGTTAGAACTATGCTCCATAAGTTATTGTTGTTATTTGCTTTTATAGCTGATAGAAGGTTTATTGGTTTTAGAAGAAGGGTTTCGGTTATCCATTCTGAAAAAAGATTACACATTTATTGTTACACATTAATTGTTCATCCTATGGTTAACTAAACAATCCGGAAGACTTCAATCATCACCATTATGTAGTTGAAGTAACACCCAATTGCACTTTGCTTCGCTTGAAGAATATGGTAAGGACAAGCGCAAACCGGCAGATGATATTAAATTTGCTATGATAATTGAAATAAGGTATAAATTTCAATGCTCTGAGTCACATAGAGAAATGTGCTACAATACTCTGAAGTCGGTCCCAGAGTATTGAAATTTATATACATTGATAAATTTTATGTCCTCTGCCTTCCAATCTGCCGGTTTAAGCAGTCCCTAAAAGAATGGAATACAATAGAAACAAGTTTCTTTCAGCATCATACTTGGCTTTCTAGGTCATAAAACCGAATTGAGGCTTTATGCGAAGACACCAGGCAGGTCAGCCAGTGATTTCGGTAAAAAGGTCCTACACTGTATACAATTAGTAGTAGTAAATTAGGGTAATTTATATTGTGTCTATCCCTAAAAACTACACAACCAAAGAAAAAGTCAACAATAAAGCATAAAATCAACAGCAATGAAACAGAATTTGAATAGTTACTCCAAAAAGAATCACGCAAAGCTAAAAACAAAATAAAACCAAGATACAAACAAGGTACATAACATTTAAAAGAGAACAAGGTATGTAAATGCCTCATATTGACGCTAGTTATACAAAAGTTGATTCGATTTATCGATACTATGATGTAAATACTCTGGATAAATAATCCGTTTTACGCATCAAGCAGTTGGGGTAATTTATTTTTAAATTTATTATTTCATTTTATATCTACATAATATACCACAATTTTTACTTAAAATTACATGTACAATAAATATTGTTCGATTTTCGTACATTATAACAAATTTACTATTCAATTTTGTTACCTGGATGACATTATTTATAAATCGTATGCGTGCAACTTAAAAATTAGAAGTGTCACAGAGCTCATCCCTATTGAAACGGACTTTAGTTAAAATCTGTGGTGCGGGTGTCATGGACACACTTAAAGTACACCCAAACTCGCGTGATAAATAAATGTAGACTATACAAATATTTTTCCCGGCTCGGGAATCGCACCCGAGACCTCTGGCCCGACCACAGGCATTATAACCGCACGGAAGAAAAGGTTAAAATTATTCTAAGCGAAATAAAAGTTTACCAAATATGAAAAGCCAGACAAGTATTGTTGTAATGTTCGCTGTAATAAAAATTGAACAACTTTGTACCGGTTTCAAAAGTGGCTAAATCTTCTTTCAGCAAAACTCCAGCTGTTTGTATGGTCTTCCCATAATACCTTTGGTCAGGAACCGTCGGCAGGCAATCTAGAAGAGCCTCCCACTTCTCCATAACTCAAAAAAAGATAACAAACGTGTGACTCAGAAGTTTGAGAATCTCGTATGTCATTTCTCCACTTTTAAATAGTAATAATTGTTTTATTATTTAGCACAATGCAATAATAGAAAGTAAATATTAATGGAATTATAGACTTTTATGGTATTTTTCAAAATATTAGCGAAAATAATTTTTAAGCGCCACCGGTGAAACTTTTTTTTGGTACTGTTTTTTCCATTGGAAAAGGCAAAGGCACAAATGCGCCATACAGCCAAGACTGAGAGTAATCTCTTTCTTGTACTCCATTACAAGAATTAAATGTCTTCGATAGTGCTTCTTGCGAAATAATATAAAATTTATAACATTCTTGATTTTTCAGGAGATCTGGTAAAGAAAGCGGGATGTTCTCATAAATTCGCACCAGTGCCGCCAGGGGCCCTTGAGTTGCTTGAGTCGAAAATTACATTTAGTTGAAAATAACATTTTTGTCTGCAAAAGTTGCATTTTACAAGTTCATTCTGTATTAAAAATTGTAACTGTAAAAGAAATAGGTACATATTGCACGCTTAAATTCCGAAATTTGATGATTTCTGAGTTACTTTTTAACTGCCTCTGTGGACGAATGGTTACCATGCCGCTAGACTGCCACGCAGTGTTCCCAGGTTCCATACCCGGACCGGGAGAAATATTTGTATGACCTACATTTATTTCTCTCGTGAGTTTGGGTGTAATTTGTGATTGTCTAAGTGTGAAGCGTGGATACTCACGGCTTCACGGTACCCGTAACACAGGGTTTCCCTAGTGCGAGGCTATGTTGAATGTGTGCGTTATTACATATTATTATTATTATTTTTTGTCTAATTAAGGTTATAAGGTTAATTTACAAGGTTCGGTGGCTCCTTTCTCTGCCGCACAGTTGACAAATGGAACTCCCTTCCGGCACATGTCTTCCCTCCCTCTTATGATATGGGATCCTTCAAACGAGGCGTGAAGAGGCATATTGTAGGCAGGCAGGATGGAGGTGGCTAGTGCAGTGAGGGTTTCATCGCTGCACTAGGTTCCTTCGCGTTTGGATAGCACTTTCCACTTAACATCAGGTGGAGTGGAGTCATTTGCTTGTCAGGTATAAAAAAATAATAATAATAATTTAAATTATTTAGGATTAACTGTAACAAGAATAGTTAAATTTAAGAAATTTCAACGTCAAAAGTTACAAATAAACGTTAGTTGTTTACTCAAGAAGATCAAAAGTTCCGAAAAATGTAAGAAATGTAACCGTCTGGCAACACTGTTTCGTTCCGCCAATAGGGTTGCGCCTTCGCTGTTTGCGTTTGTGCCTCACCAGCGCGCAAAACAAGGAATCGAAAATAACGGAACCGAAAAATTATTTGAAATACAATCTGGAACTTAAGTTTTACTAAAAAATACATAAAAATAATAATAGTAAATACAAGTGTTAAGAGGTTTTTATAATTTAATTAGTGTTGGGTCATGGAAAATTTTTCTTAAAACAAAAAATTCTTATTTTATATTATATTGCAATGCCACTCAGAGCTTTAAATCGCAAAGATCTGCCACTGCCACTGCCACTATGCCTGTCACCTCGAGAAATAAGTTGGTAAGTTTCAAAGAGCATTGCTTATGTAAGTTTCTGTACATATACCAGTATTTTTTTTATATCGTCTGAACCAAATAGAACACGTATATTATACGACATACATTTGTCAAATGGCTTTAGGGTTCCTTTGTAAAAAAAACGACCCAAGCAAATCGAACTGTTTTAGTACGAGAAAAATTTGAATTCTAGCTGAGGTAGTATCGACTCATAAAATTTAGATGGTTTCACTCATTAAAAATAACCAAATCACAATTTAGAAATAATTAATCGATAATATCATAACGTGGCTAAATTGTGCAAATAACGTTATACGAGTTGTAGCTCTATATTATCCTGACAAATTGAAAAGCACTGCAAATTTGAGGAAAATCATTGTTGTACTACATACTTTTATTGTGGTTGGAATGATTACGCGGAAAATTTCATAAGAAAATTGACGTAAAGGAGACAAATGTCAATTTTTTACTCTCGTCATTTGGATTGGCATCAAAAGTTTGCAAAATTATTTTCAAATTCCAATTCTGATTAAATCCAGCAAGCTGGCATCCAGAAGACTATTGGTGTTTGGCTTTCACAGTTTTTCTCCAACCATAGCTTTTCGTCCCACGATATATAGGTTAGATTTTGTATAGTACAGAAAATCCCAAAAACATCTTAATTTCTAATATTAATCATTAAAAAACACGTAAATAACCGTGACTAGAATCATTTAGCACTACGCTTATGTAGTTTTACTATCATTCTTACTTATTTCTTCTCGTAGTTGGACATCATAGTGTATGTGTACTATAAAAATTTAGATTGATTGCGGTTTTTAGCTCCTTACTTACAATTACAGGTAAGATTTGCCTTTTAAACGTGGTATTGTGCATTGTTACCAACTAACTTCATGTTACCTATAAGATAGTTGTGCAAATTTGACTCGTATGTTATGAAAAATATGTCTAAAGGTATGTTGTATTGAGTAATGTGTAGTGGGTAGTTCTTATGAAATTCCGAAATTCGTGCTTTCGATATTTATCAATAATATTAAGAACAATTGGACGTAGTCAAAAAAGGATCCAATGCACATCCAGTCACTTTTGAGACATGGCAGTTTGAAGTTTAAAAGTGATTCTCAACATTGTTTTATTTTCAAAACTTATAATGTCATGTACTTGGTACTTGGTGTAACGGGCTGGTGTTTGCAACTCGACGTCAAGGCGCCTATTTTGCGTGTAATGTCATGTAGCTCCAGAGTCACATTGGGCAGTTTACAGCACATCGCGTGCCTGCTAGCAACGGGAGCCATGTCCACCACACCTGGGGCAGCCCTAAATGTATTGCTGAACCTGACTCCTCTGCATTTATTCATACAGAGGGAGGCCAGTGCCAGCATGTACAGGTTTACCACTAGGTTAAGGAGTAGATGGCTCTCCCAGACATTGAGATCAGCCCTAGACTCAATTCTGGCACACTCTGTTCTGGGAATGACTTCTGATGTTATGCTTCCCAAACAAAACTTCACAAACCTCTACCAGGTAGAATTTCCAACTAGGGAGGACTGGGAAACTGAGTATCACCTGGAAGGACGGTAGCCTTCTATAGTATCCCGATGGGTCTAAAATGGGACCCAATGTAGGCTGTGGTATACACTGTGTGAAACCCAGGCTCAGTTACATGCTGAACATGGGACGACTCAGGCCTAAGTGTGCGCCATAATTACTTGTGCAGATTTGAACCCGAAGAGAGGCTACGTTGACAAGCATATTTACATAATCTCAGATAGTCAAGTGGCTCTACATGCACTAGTCTCAGTCACCCAAACATCGAGAATTGTAGAGAACTGTGTAAATATACTGAACATTCTCAGGGAATGTAATACAGTGGTACTGTGCTGGGTTGCAAGCCACTCTGACATTGAGGGTAATGAGTCAGCAGATGAACTGGCAAAGGCTGGTGCTAGGGAAACCTTTATTGGACCCGAACCCTTCATAGGGATAGCATACAGCCTGGCATAGCTCACTTCTAAATGAGAGCACACACCTCTCCCAAGAAGTGTGGCTACAGAACAAGGGTCTTGAGCATTCAAAAGCCCTGATATCTGCCTACAGCGCCAAACACTGTAGAGAAGCTCTGTCATTGGACAGGAATGGCATAAGAATGCTCACTAGAGCCTTAACAGGGCATTGTGGCTTAAACAAGCAAATGTCAAATATTGGGCAGAGAGAAAATAGAGAATATAGATTCTGCCACACGGAGAATGAAACTCCTGTTCATCTACTCACCCAACGCTACCTGATGGGCGTATAAAGTTCCGTACTGAGAAGGCACATGCCACAACCAGAGGACATTAAATCTGTCGGAGTCAGGAAAATCCTTCAGTTTCTCAATGCTGTCGGCCTTGGCTCTGCACTGTAATTAGTGGTGATCACAATAGATCAGTCAATGGTCGCAGTGATGAAGGGATGCATAGGCCCTGAATAAAGCCACCCTAATAATAATAATAATAATAACTCCAGAGATATTTTATTTATGTTTATTTGTTGGATTTTTTTTGCTGATCTGAGATGTTAGACCTGCGTTTCCCATTTGGCAGGTCACAACCCGGTACCGGGCCATCAAAATAATATACACATTCCTGCCTTGTTGACGTGGAACCAGACCTTTTAGAAACTTGGATTCTTTAGTAAAAAATAAGCAGCAGCTCCATACTTCGCACTAAATAGGTGATACCGAAATAATATTAGTAAAACAACTTTTTTCTAACAATAAATGTATATTATTTTACGTAATGTAACCGGCTTGGATTTAAAATTGAGTGGGCAATCAATTGAAGAAGTAGTATGAAAATTACCGGGCTATAGCAGAACAATCTTTGGGAAACACTGGGTTAGACTTTAGGAACCATTTGATACATATAGCTCTGCTTTTGATAGTTTTGTGGATTGGGTTATTTTTCCTTAACTATGTCTAATTTGTGTAAATAGGTTTTGATGATATAGTGGTCCCTAAAATAAATGACTTTACCTGTATATTTATGAAAATCAATAAATTGAATTAGGGTATCAAATCCTGTCAGTTGAAATGAAATGATATGAAATTATTTATTGGTAACAATGTTATTTGTTACAAGTCAGTTATCTATACCATTCAAAATTTGTAAAACAGACATTACATTAATATTACATTACAACTCAGTGTTTATGTCATTCTCAATTAATTATACAATACATTATAAGTCACATTAACATTATATTACATGTCATAAAAAATAAAATAAAATTAATACAATAACAAATAATCAAAGATAAATCATGATACAATAGAAATTACATTGTGACATTTGATTTTAAGAGAAAAGGAATTCTTTAAAGTCATAGAATTGTTTTCCTACGTACATTGTACATACGTAGACGGCAGCACTTTAAGTTACACACTGATGGATCTTGTTCCATTGCATAGCTTGATGTGCTGTTGACTGTACAAGCAATGACATTAATGATTTTTGTGCTGTCTCTTCTTCAATACTCTCTCTGAGTCACGAAACAAATTTTCTGCGTACACTCCCTCCATGATGTTCATTAGTATTATTATTTTTTTAACTGCCTCCGTGGCCGAACGGTTACCATACCGGACTGCCACGCAGAGGTCCCCGGGTTCGATTCCCGGGCCGGGAGAAATATTTGTATGGCCTACATTTATTTCTCTCGTGAGTTTGGGTGTAATTTGTGGTTGTCTATGTGTGTGTCCATGGCACCCGCGACACAGGGTTTTCCTAGTGCGGGGCTATGTTGAGTGTGTGCGTTATTATTATTATTATTATTATATTCGGGTGGCTTCATTTGGGACCTATGAGGCCCCTCATCACTGCGACCATAAATGATCTATTGTGATCACCACTAATCACAACTCGGAGCCAAAACCAACAGCATTAAGGAACTGAAGGACTTTCCTGGCTCCGACAGTCTTTATGTCCTCTGGGGTGTGGCCTGTGCCTACCCAGTATGGAAATTCTCACGTCCATCAGAGGGCAGCACTGGGTGAGAAAATGCACAGGAGTTCCATCCGCCTCGTAGCAGAATCTACATTCTCTGTTTTCTCTCTGTCCAATATGTGACATGTGCTTATTCAAGCCACAATGTACTGTTAAGGCTCTAGTCAGCATTCTGATGCCATTCCTGTCCAGTGACAGAGCTTCTGTACAGTGTTTGGCACTGAAGGCAGCTATCAGGGCTTTAGAATGCTCAAAACCCTTAGTCTGCAGTCACACGTCTCGGGAGACGTGGGAGCTCTCGTTCAGCAAAGTGAGCTTTGTCAGGCTGTGTGCTATTCTATAAAGGGCTCAGAACCAATGAAGGCCTCCCTAGCACCAGTCTTTTCCAGTTCATCCGCTGCTTCATTACCCTCGATGTCAGAGTGACCAGGAACCCAACGCAGGACTACATTATTCCTTTCCCTGAAGGTATTCAGTATAGTTACGCAGTTCTCTACAATCCTCGAAGTTTGGGTGACTGAGGTTAGTGCTGATGTCTATGAAAGCAGCATGAAATGGAGAGTAACAGAATTGAGACTATTAGTTTCACACCATTCATTAAGTAAAATAAAAATAATAAATAAAAAATTACCAACGAGAGGATGTTAGAAGCCCGAAGGCGAAGGCTGAGGGCTTTAATGAATGGAGGTGTGTAATTTTTACCGCCCATGCTACACACAATGTTTTTCATCACATTTGCGAGGAAATAGATACAACGATAATTTATTTCTTGTATGATTAATATTGCTTCACTACACAACATTTATTCCACTGCCTCTGTGGCGAACGGTTACCATGCCGGACTGCCAGGCAGAGGTTGGCACCTCTTCATGTTCGATTCCCGGGCCGGGAGAAATATTTATGTGGCCTACATTTGTTTCTCTTGTGAGTTTGGGTGTAATTTGTGGTTGTCTATGTATGTATGGCACTCGAGACACAGGGTTTCCCTAGTGCGGGGCTATGTTGAGTGTGAGTGTGTGCTTTATTTATTTATGGATTTAAATGGCGGGCTTTTTGTTTTTTTTTTAACAAATTGCCAGCTATACTTCCACAGGTAATACAATTCCAACTAAAATGCTATAAAAACATTACGGTCGCCTTTGCCTGCATGTCATGACACTGTTTACAAGCAAGTGTGATGAAAAATAATATTAATGATTTGTTTTCTTCAACAGCTCATCTGTAAGACATACGCGCAGCCATAGCAGCATGTCGGCGGTGCAAAACGCGCGAATTCCGCGCTCACCGCCTGGGCGCGACCAGGCCGGTCGCAACGCGGGCCCCGCCACGATAGCCAGCCGCCATGACAAGATCGTAAAATCGCAAGAAGATAAAAGACAGTATAGGTAAGATATCCTCATGTAATCCAGGCAAGCAAACGCTAATAATTATTAATTAACCGACTTGAAAAAAAGGAGGTTCTCAATTCGGCTGCCTTTTTTTAAATGTAACTCTTACTTTGTGAACTGATTTTGATGATTGGAAGAGGGGGATTTCCCTTCCATCATCAGGGGACCAGACGTAGGCTTGGGTACCACCCCTATGTTGTGGATATTCCAAAGATTCGCACGAAGCGTTACGCTTCCACATTTATATGGCGAATGGCTATGCGATAACGGCGAGTGGTATTCCCTGCCTGCAGACTTGTTCCCTGAACGTTATAACTTGGGTCTTTTCAAGGTGAGTGTGGATTGTCGGCCTCATCGTCGCTTTCCATCAGGTGAGATGGAGGTCAAATGCGCACTTACATTTCATGAAAAAAACAAAGAAGAGGGTACCTCAATAGTGGTCCCTAGTTAAATTTCAAGAAATTATTCCAACTCTAAGAGTGGCGACTTTTAGCACGCGCGTTCGTGAAACGAGCGATTGCATACCTACATTTTCGATTTATAGGCGTCGATTGCATCGATGCAAACGCGCGATTACATCGCTACTTTTGGGATTTATAGGCGATTGCATCGATGCAATCTCGCGTTTGTATCGATGCAGGCGCGCGCTTGCATCGCTGCTTAAAAACGCGCGCGCGTGTAAAGGTAAACGATTCGCGACTGCATCGCTGTGTGTAATCGTTCTAAGGGTGGCAAACTAGGGGATGAATGATTTTGAGGTCTTTTTTTTAGTTAATTTGTATTGTAATAGAATATTGATCTCAATTATTTTAATTCGAGATAAAATCGCAAAAGGGTCGTCATAGGAGAGGCTCTGCCTAGTGTGGGACTAGCTCAACAAGTATATAACCAGTAATAGAGACGAAATAAGGGCCGTCTATCCCTGGTAACTCATCAGGCAAATGGGGCTTATATCACTTTTAAATATCAACTCTCGTTTGCACTGAAATCACAAATTAGAAAGCTGAAATAGTACAGCGCCAACAACTGACCTGTTTATACGTCACTTTAACAATATATATATCTACCAATGGGAGGCTGTTCCATTCGGTGATGTGGGAAAAACAGCAAAACATCTAATTACTAAACAAACGGAATCACATTTCATCGGTAATTAAATATTAAATATGTAATTTTGTAATTTACGTCCATTACAGCAAAGGTCAAGTTAAACTGGTCGATTATTCGGGCTGGTCAATCGGAGCGCAGTTGTCACAGTAATGATTTGGCAGAATAGTTTTCAAACAAATTAAATGACATTTCGTCTCTATTTCTGGTTATATACTCGATGGACCAGCTGTAACCATGCACAATTATTTCAGGCATGATACCACGTTCGCAGTTATTTATTATTATGACTACACGGCTTCATTCGGGGCATATGCAGCCCCTCATCACTGCGACCGTCAGCTGATCTAATGTGATCACCACTAATTACAATTCAGAGCCAAGACCGACAGCATTGAAGAACTGAAGGACTTTTCTGACTCCGATAGGTATTATGACCTCTGGTTGTGGCGTATCCTTCCCAGTATGGAGCTTCGTACGCCCATCAGGGGATAACATTGAGTGAGAAGATGAACAGGAGTTTCATCCGCCTCGTGACAGAATCTACACCCTCTATAGATTGTGACTTATTTGTCTCGTCACATGATATTAAAAAAAAATACATACCATGGACGTAGTAGAATAGACGTCGAATTGCGGACGCCCGTGGGAACGTATACCTGATCACGACATTTGTTTCAGGGGTTTGGAGCTGACTAATCGTCTCAGAGTGCTTCTGGTGAGCGATCCGACCACAGACAAGTCTGCTGCCGCTATGGACGTGAACGTTGGTATGTTGACTTGTTTTTGTTATTTATTAAGAAGGTAGCTTCTTTGCCAAATGATCCACCAGCAGAAGTTTCGTATACGTTCTCGAATATGCGTACTCCGTGATAGTATGTTTGATACTATGAACTGTTAGCAAACGTGACACGCATACTAAATACTTTTACTGTATTTATTGTTCTGTGGTTACACATGACTAATTAACATAATCTCAGTACAGAGTACTAAAAAAAACCGACCTTAAAAATCATTCATCCCCTGGTTTGCCACCTTTTTAGAGGTGGAATATTTTCTTCAAATTTAAATGGGACCGCTTCTGAGGTACCCTCTTTCAAAAAAAAAAGAATCCTAAAAATCGGTTCACAAAACCGGAGTTATCGCGTAACATACATAAAAAAACATACAGTCGAATTGAGGACCTCCTCCTTTTTTTAAAGTGGGTTAAAAATGAACCCCAGTTAACGCCCTTGAAATATTTTATTACTACACCCCAGACAGATAATATAATACATGTCAAAATTTGGAAGTTACAGTTGGAAGTTAAAGGAACCTCTATGAATAAATATAATATATAATAAATAAAGGAAGACATAAAAAAGAAAAGACAAAACAAAAACAAAGAAAAGATAAACCTAAAGATAAAGGATGACAGGGTTCCCAAAATTCTTCATACTTATAAGAAGTTCCCAAACTACATGGAATCACGGTAACTGATGCTGTTTTCTACTTGCAGGGTATCTAAGCGATCCAGACGAGTTGCCAGGATTAGCGCATTTCTGTGAGCACATGCTATTTATGGGGACCAAGAAATATCCGGAGGTAAGTACTGCAATTCGACCTTACGGGTCCGCCAATGCAACTCCTTTCGTTATTTTTTTTCATCTTGAGATCTCCAAGTTTCTTCAATCTGGACATTTGAAACTTAGGCTTTGAAAACTTCTCGGACTTGTTAATAAGTTAACCTTGTTTTATGAAGTAATTAGAATCCTATTCGATTCCATCTATATACTAAGACAGCGTCTCCGTTGCTTTTTTAAGAATAGTGGTCTAATCCAAAATAGTTCTTTTTTGACTTGTTACTCTGATTTGTTCAGAAAATGCTAAATTTTGTTGTGAATGAGACACCGCGCTTTTTAATGGTTAAAATAATCAATTCCTACGTTTGGACGGTCGGTAGATATACCATAGTATTGTTTTGTTGGACATGGGGGTACCGTAACAGTGGTAGATAGATAGATAGATATATAACACGTTTATTCAGCACAAATACAAACAGAAACAAAACATTTACAATCACTTCACAGAGTATAACATAAAAGCACATAGAACATTCATTATTAATTTTATACACATTTATATAAAACACATACTGTGAGAAAAACAAACAAATACTATAAGAACTGATAAAATTTTAATGTGCCTATGACTACAGTTTGTGCTGAAATGGCCTTCAATGGCCTCGGTCTACAGTATTTATGCTGACTCAGCATAAATACTGTAGACCGAGAGAAGTCAAACAGTGCTGGTTTTCTGTCAGTACCATATGGTGAGCAATCGCAGCCCAATAAGCCATGCCACCAAAATGCATCACACGCAAATATATATACCTAACTGTAAATACTATACATATATATATAAAACAAAAGTGTAAGATGTAAAGCAAATAATGTAAATAGTGTAAGTAACGAAGGTAAGCAATATATATAATAATGTAAGTTTACAAACATAATATTAAATTATAAAAATAGCCACCAAATATGAGTATATATACATAGGTACGGAAATTAAGGTTTACAGGTATCAAACGCATTGATTAGGGAAATATCATCATTAGACAATAGATGTTTTTACACTCACGTTTAAATCGTTTTTTATTATTGATGTCACGCAATGGAGGAGGAATATCATTCCAACACTTACTGGCGCGATATCTGAAACCGCCACGAAAAGCAGTCGTTCTGTGTTTTGGGATGTTAATAACATTTTTAGAAACTAATCAGAACTTATCCCCCCTTACACGTTGTGATCAATTAATCTTGTAGTATATATCTATACTACTATATCAGGTTTCCGGGTTTTAACTATATCAAACATTAGGCAGGCCAAATATAGCTTCTGACGGGCCTCCGTTTTCAGAATGCCGAATTTGTTTAGAAAGGGCGTGATATGTGTGCGAGGAGGAATTCGAAAACAATAGCGAGCACAAGAATTTTGCATTTTTTTGCGATAACCACTATACACCATGATGCAATAGTTCAGCCTAGACAATACCAGTGCCTCACAAAGCAGAACTTTCAAAGCCTGGCTGATATAAGATCTAAAATTGTACAGAACTTTGAGGCGATAGAAACAAGAGCGTGTGACGTCCAATACATGAGTTTCAAAGCGCAGCTCACAGTGGTCCTGTTCAAATTTAAAGAAAATAATAAAAATATATATATGAAATAGGCTTTATTTGACATGTATAAATGTCAAACAAAACAACAAAAAATTAATAAAAATAAATACAATTAAAATAAAATATAAAAAAGAAGCATAAAAAATATGTTAAAAGGGTCCATGACTCAGCCTCTGAGGACTATGCTAATTACATAACGCTCGCTGTTATTCCGTCATGGCCTGTCATAATATGGAACACTTCAATTCAAATAATATACATATTACATGTTACGTACAAAACAAAAATCAAAATTAAAATAACTGGGCTGTAAGCATTGGTGAATAAAATTTGACATAAACCAATTTGAGTAATAAATAAGTATGGTATATTTATTAATACAAAGATCGAACACTCAGAAAAAATTCCTTCGATCCGACCGTATTGGAAGCAACGTCATCTAGCATACCGTGGCAGACGCTATACCAACTAAGCCACGGAACGAACCAGCGGATCTCACGAATTTTTCTATGTGCATGCGACGTATGTTTGTATTTGGTTTTTTCACCGACTTTTTAGTCGTAGCGCCATCTATGACAAATGTATGAAAATTTTATCACCCAGTTAGATATCTTTACAGTTACCAGTCCGGGCGAGAAATGTCGCTATTCACTGTGTTTTAAATTTTTATTGAATTGATATTCAATTATTAGGATTTTTTTCTGAGTGTTCCATCTTTGTGTTAATAAATATAACAAACTAGTAATTTCACAAAAAATAATTGAATATCAGTTCAATAAAAGTTTAAAATAAATAAGTAATTTAAATAGCCTATTACCGAACATACACAGAACAGATATAAAAACATAAGCTACTTCTTAAAGCCTGCGTCCCGAGATTGCTTTTCAAACAGCCACAGAAAACATTTGTGTTTAAAATTTGGCAGTGTCCGGACATCCATCTTAAGGGGAATCTTCCAAGTAGACATAGAAATGACACTCCAGTGACTGTTATAAATTATATTAAAAGATATTTCACTATAAATCCAAAGAATACAAAAACACGTCTGTTCTAGTCAAAGATGCTTCGTAATGGCGGCCGCCTGTCAGCGTTCCGTTGATTTCGATGATGGTGATATCGGTTTATTTCGTATTTCGATGAAACTAATTCTTAATGACGCAAAGTAAGTTTTCTGACAGAATAAAATAAAATTATGTCACGATACGCTAACAATCTCTAAAGTGACAAATTAGGGGTTGAATTCTGTTTATTGGATTTCTCGCATTTCAATAAAACGTGGCAAATTGATAGAATATTCCACAAACTTTTCGGTTTTTTTTAATAAAAAAAGGTTATATTACTTATTGTTACACACTGTAATGTTGTTGCAAATGGCCGAGGTTCCGTTTGTTATTTTGCTACAATATAATCTGTTTTGTCACAGGAAAACGAATACAACAAGTTCTTGTCAGAGCATGGTGGCTCGTCGAACGCTTCCACGTCCTCTGACCACACAACTTACTACTTCGATGTTCTTCCTCACCAACTGGGGCCCGCATTGGACATGTAAGTGTGTTTTTCATACTATTTTTAGTGCCAAAAGTTATTATATTGCTAAGTGTTGTACATTTAACGTGATCATACGTCCCGCTTTTAAGCTTAGTGTCCCGCTGTCCACAAAATACTTAACAATGTCCCGGTTTGACAAAACAGGAC